GTGCCTAAGACTCCATGCTTCTACTGCAGGGGGCACAGTTTCAATCCCTAGTCAGGGAGTTAAGGTCCCACGTGCCATGCAGCATCGTCAAAAAAAAAAATCCACTGTGACTCATTCACACATTCATGTATTGTGTCCACTGATAAGTGGACCTTAAATGAGTTTAAGGCTTGAGACATGACAGAGACCTGGATTCGAAAAACTTGGCTGCTCCCTCCCTGTCTGAACTAGGCAAACAGCCAGCTCCCTTGGCCTCAGTTTCCCCACTGTGTATTGTGATGACTCTCCAATTGTTATTAAGTTTCTAGAAGTGTTGGTGTGTCTGCAGCTATCAGGGAAAAACCCCAAATGAGGGCTGACCTTGGCTTGTCCCTTTTTCTTGTGAGAAAATGCAACATTGCTTCAGATTCTGCAGGCATCTTATTTATTTACTATTGAGAAGACAACAAGAAGGGTGTTAAAGGCAGGGAGCGGGGCACCTGGGGCTCCTCTGAGGTGAGAACATTTGAGAAGAGTGTCTGGCGTCTCTGCAAAACCAAGGATCCTGCAAGCCAGATTTGGGGTCTGGTGTTCTCCCTAGTTGGTCCCCCAGAGGACAGGGGGCCTGGGTGAGGTGGTGAGCACCTTGTCCTAGGAGGTAATCAACAACATCCCCCTAGATGTGGGGCTTCATGGTGCTGTGTGGCATCAGGAGTTCACCAGACTGGACCCCTGTGGGTCTCAGGCTCCCCCAAGGCCACGCTCCAAGAGGATTCAGTGGGGACAGAGGGTCAGCAGGTCTTGCCGGGTGCAGCCACTGAGGCAGCAGTGGCGGGCAGGGTTGATGGCAGTTGCCCGGCGGTGGTGGTGATGGCGAGAAGCCTGGGGCAGGGGCTGTGGGGCCAGAACCAGCACAGGGTCCCCACTGGCCATCAGCCCATGGAGGAGATGTTGTCCTTCCAGCCACCGTAGGAGCTCACCTGGGAACAGGGAGGAATTCAGCATAGAGGGAGGAACCTGAGAGGACCCCACCCACACTGCCCCCATGGCAGCCAGACATGCAGCATGCACACAAATAGTAAGCATTTATTAAGTGCCTACTCTATACCAGGCCCAGACTGAATCACCCCATCCAGACGTGTACACTCTCAACCCACGCCCACACTCAAGTCCCCAGCTGTGCACACTCCCACGTGCCACCTACGGTAAGAAGGCATAGAGGCTTCCCAGAGCAGAAGACAGTAAGGGTGGCATGTGACGCGTGCATGTACACACTGGACACAGCCACTTGCTCTCCTAGCCCCTCCCAGTTCCCCGCCCCCACCACGTGCATCTCGGCACACCCATCTGCACCCGGTCACACAGACTCAGACACATAGGACACCTGTGACTGATGTCGTGCATAATACCCTGTGCCCCAGGGCCGGGTCTACCGTGAGGAGAGCTAGGCGCTGACCCAGAGCAAGCAATTTAAGGGGGCGCCAGAAACGCTCAACAGTCAAGATCACTCCTATTATAACTGAATATTTTACTAGTAAAATTAACGCAAAAATTCCTGAGGAGCAAAATGTTGAAGTTGTAAATAAAGATAGGATAGGATCTGACCTTGCACTTGTTAAGATTCTACCTGGCTTCGCACTGATTCCCTTGCCAGGCAGGGGTTCCTCCCCGCAGACTTGCACACGCCAGAGCAGGAAGCCAGAACATTCACGCAAATCCGTCTGCAGACACCTGCACCCCTACCCCGCCCCAGAGACCCCAGTGCACAGTCCTCGCCCACCCCTACTCACGGTCGCCGCCAGCCACAGGTCGCCCGTCCTCGGAAGACCAGCGCGGGCCGCCGCACAGCCGCACGAGCGCGCGCACGAAGTGGTGGCCACACAGTTTCTCAGGCGCCTCCTGCGCGGCTGCAGGACTGAGGGCGATCGCAAGAGCCGGGCCCAGCAGCACCAGAGCCCAGGTGAGCGGACGACGGTCCATGGCGGTGAGCGGCACCGGGCCCCAGCGGGGATCCCCCTTATAGGCGCCCAGCCTACCCCAGCTGGGAGCCTTGGAGCGGGGACACAGCCTTCCCAAAGGACGATGGCTCAGGGAGGTCAAGGGCGGGGTCAGGGCAAGCCTAGTGGGACCTCTGATAGTTGAGTTTTCTCATTTTTATGATGTAAGTGCCTGACATCCTTTGATTGCTCAGGCATCAGCTTCAACCATGGCTCCCTGATAAATATGACTAAAGAGCAGGACCACCTCTTCCCACATTTGTTTTATTTATTTTTTTCCACGTTTGTTTTAGACATCTTGACTGATTTCAGTCTCTTTCCATTGGGGCCACTTGGGCTATTTAGCTTTGCTTTTGTTTCGTTTGTTCTTCTCTTCTTATGCTTTAAACTCCAACCCTTGTTAAATTCATTAGTAAGAGTGAGCCCACGAAGCTTTAGGTTCCCATGCTTAACCCCAGTAAAAGCAAGAACCCAGGCCAACGCTGCTTTCTCTACAAGAACCTGGCCCCAGGTGTGCTGGGTCATTTCCAGGTGTGCCGTGTGATTTATAAGTAATAAATCTTGATTTTTCCGAACTTTCCTGATGGTTATTGCTGAAAGGCTCTCGCAATCGTAATAACTCCCAGGGCCAGTCCAACCACCACATTGATTATTGATAGGCTGTGTGTGCGCATACTAAGTCACTTCAGTCGTGACCAACTCTTTGTGACCCCATGGACCATAGCCCACCAGGCTCCTCTGTCCAAGGGATTCTTCAGGCATGAATACTGGAGTGGGTTGCCATGCCCTTCTCCAAGGGATCTTCCTGACCCAGGGATGGAACCCATGTCTCTTATATCTTCTGCATTGGCAAGTGGGTTCTTACCACTAGCATCACCTGGGAAACCTGTTGATAGGCTGAGAGCCACACAAAATGGCCATGGTCTGTCTTCCTGGGTGTATCTTTCCCAGGGGGACCATTGAAGAGTATTTTTTTTAACTACTTTAAAGAGAAGAAATAAACTTGGATATAATAATTCCCTGGGATGGTGCTGGTGAGCATCCAACCGAGACCAAAGACATTCAGAATCTTGTTATCCTTATTACTGTACAAATAAGGAAACTGAGGCTCAGAGAGGGGATCCCGTACTTGCCCAAGGTCGCAAGAGGCTGGGCCCCAGGGCTGGGAGTGCTTGTTGGTTCTGCCTCCACATCAGGGTCTCCTTGGGTTGGACAGGGGCTGGAGGTCTCTACTGGGCGTCAGTTTTGCCCAGAAGGGGAATTAAGGCACAGAGGTTATTCAACCCAGTGCAGGGGGGACCCTGAGTTGAAAACCCTGTGTTGCAGCCCCCTACCACTTTTCACCAAAGCAGACTATGACAGCAGGTACAGAGATCTCTGTCTGTCTCTCCCAAGCTCCCTGCTTCCTTCTCCGAGTCTCTTTGTGCGTCTCTGTCTCCGTCCCTCTCCAAATCTTTCCATCCAGTCCTGAGGAGCAGAGGGCTGCTGTGGCTCCCAGTAATGTTGGACCTATCTCCATAGCCTAACCCTCCCAATAGGGCCTTGACCTCTGATCTCCTCCAGAGCAGCCTGTTCCCTCCACCCCCAAGAGCCTGTAATCAGCTCCCCAGGACAGAGCCAAGGCCAGCAGCTGGAGTTCGGGGGAGGGCTTCTGTCCTTGAGGGCCTCACCCTCCTGTCCCTCCTCCCCCAGCATGTCCTGAGGCTCCCATTGCGGCCCCCAGGGGTCTCTATCCCCCAACTCTGATCACATTTCTCCCTGGCTCACACATCCCCAAGAATTCCCATTGCCCAAGTCCAGCAACAAACCATCCTTTCCACTGAATTTCTTTATTCATTCAATGAACACTCCCAGAGTCCTCTTTGTGCCCACCCCAGCCCAGCTCCCTAAGGAGCCTCCAGGTCAGAGGAAACAGAGCTGGATATAGACATCCTCCAGCCCTAGAGCTGGAAGTATAGGGCTGAATGGGAGTAGTGGGAGAATCCCAGGGAAGACTGCAAGGAGGTGATAGCTGGGGTTTTGAGAGATGAATAAGAGTTTTCTAGGGAGGCAAAAGTGGCAGAAAAAGCTTGCAGGAAGGTATGAAGGAGTGGTGGGGGCTGAGCCTGCACTAGATGCCTTCCCACAATCTTCCAGAAGTTGACTCTGTAGAGCCCAAGGGCCAACACTCTTGCCCATTAGACAGAGGATGGAACTGAAGCCAGAGAAAGGAAGCAACTCGCCCACCATCACACAGCAAGTAAGTGGCAGAGCTGTGGGCTCCAACAGCCTGTGCTCTTAAGCCCTGTACTCCGAGCCTCTTCCTCTCGCCATGCCGTTTCCTCTGCCAAGAATGCCTTTCCGTCCTTCAATTGATGAAAAGCTCCTGTTAGGCTCCATTGTCCACTGTATGATCCTCTGGTCCAGAGAGAAAGGGCCCCAGTTTACAGAAGCCCTGGAACACTCAGGTTCAGAGCCTGGGGACCTCAGCCTCTCCTGGTCCCTTACACAGTTCCAAAGAGTCACACAGGCTCCCCCTCAAAGAGTGGATTTTTCAGCCCGGACAGTTGCTCTTTTCCTTGGCTTCCTCCAGCTAAAGAGGGAGACGAGACTAGAAGCCTGAGATGACATATTTAAAGCTACATAATGGCTCCCCTGAAAATGAGAACATGAAGCTGCAGGCTAGACCGTGAGAGGTTGGCAAGATGGAAGGTCTTTAAATGTGGTCCCTTGATTCTGGGGAGTGGATGGAGCTCATTAGACCCCATCATGACATCTGTCTTAATCTTTCCAAGTTCAAAAAGCCACAGGCTGCTGTTGTCCTGCCAACCAGGGTTGCTCCCCCACGTGCAATGTCAGGCATCCTATGAGGGGTCTCTGTGAAGCAGGAGGACCAGAAAGGAGCAGGTTCCTGCTCAAGGGCACACAGCAAGTCCATGGAGACCAGAGCCTAGAGGTCTGTGTGCCAGAGATATGAAAAATGACAGAGAATGGTGTTCTCCCTCTAGACAAGCAGGGAAGGTGAGAGTCTCATGCCTCTGGACACTATCCCCGGGTTCCACTCCACAGTGCATCCAGCTGGGGACCCAGGGCACTGAAGGATGGCCGGTCTTGAGGGTTAGGGGCCCAGCACAGCTTCATGAGCTCATGAACCTGGGGGTGGAGAAGAGACAACAGGGTCACATGGGAGTGGCAGAAAAAACATGACTCCTGTTCGCAGTTTTAAAATATAAACTAGACTCCATCCTGCTCTTGCTCCAAAGCCTCCCGTGACTCCCCCTATGGGTCTTAGAAAAAAATTTCATCCCCTCCCGTCTCCCTCCCTCTACCACCCCCTCCATCACCTCCTCTTGTGTTCCATGCAGCCACATCTGCCCCCGTCTCATTTTTCAAATACACCAAACTCGTTTCCACCTCAGGGCCTTTGCACCTGTTGTGTGCTCCACTGAAAATGTTCTCTCCCAGCTCTCTCCTTGGATGGTATCCTCTTCCTCCCTCAGGCACCACCCCCTCTAGGAAGCTGCTCCTGACTATACCTCCCTCATCTCTTTCTAGACATTGATCACCACCAGAATGTCCTTGTTAGCTTCTGGTGGTTACAAGGAGGAGGGGTATTATCTGTTCTGTCCTCCACTGGGTCCCCAGCACCCAGCACAAAGCCCAGCGCACAGTCAGAGCTCAATAAATGTCTGTGGCCTGAGCAAATTAATTTGTGAATGACCAATCACATGTCAGACACTTCCACAAAAGCTCTGATGAGAAACTGTAAGAATCATTTATTGAGCACCGACTGTATGCTAGGCTCCGAGATGAGCACTGAAGAGGTGTTAGCAAATTGGTCCTCCCCCACCCTATAAGGCATTGTTATTCCCATTTTGGAGACAGGTAAACTGAGGCTCTGAAAGTGTTTGTGCTTTACCATACAGTGAGAGAGGAGCAAAGGCCAGAAATCCCCTTCAGCCTCATTCCCCGATCCCTGCTCTCAACCAAGAGATATCTTGGGTGGAGAGTAATTCAGAGGGATCAGCAGGCTTGCCTAAGACACCGCGGTGAATCTACAAAGTGGGAAACTGAGGCGGGTCCTCCAGAGCTCACCTCACTAGGACAGGCAGGAGGTGCGGGCAGCCTCTGGCCCTCGGCCAGCAGCTCCAGGAGGCGGCATAGGGCTGGAACATCTCTCTCACACCCCATCATCCGCAGGAACTCCTGGAGCCAAGGGGAGGGCCCGAGGTGGGGGAGGGGCCACCCAGCTTGGAGGCGGGGGGCCGCCCGTTATCGTGGGGGTCAGCCACGGTGAAGCGAGGAAGGCGCTCACCCACCCGTGGTAAGGGAAGGGGGCCCTCCTAACGGGGAGGAGGAGTTGCCTGTGACGGATGCGGGAGGCAGCTGCCTGTGATTGGAGGGGAGGAGCGGGAGCTACCAGTCACAGTGAGAAGAGGTCCTCCCGGAGCATCTGAGGCTGGGACCGGGTGACCCTCAGCACAGAGGACAGGGCTGGCCCGAGGGGGAAGAGGGTTGGGGAACCCAGGGGTGCCGACTCACGGCTGAGGGGCTGCAGTTCTTGTCACTGTAGGTGAAGAGCTCGTACAGGACGACCCCGAAGCTCCAGACATCCGACTGGCGCGAGAAGATGTTGTCCGAGAGGGACTCGGGGGCGTACCTGGAGGGGGCCAGGGAGGTCTTGGGAGGCCACAGTAAGGCAGAGGACAGGAAAGGGAGCAGCCCTGGACTGGGGTGGCTGGTCCCGGTAGGTGGCTATGAGAAAGTCAGTCCCAGCCAGTTCTGAGGTCTCAGCTTCCCTGGCTGTGGGATGGGAGGATGCTCCAAAGCTGTAGGGTGCCAGGGCGGGGCCGGGGCGGAGCCAGAGCAAGAAAAGGCGTGTGATCGGGGAGGAGCCAGGGTTATGGGGGCGTGGCCACAGCAGGCCCAGCCCCGCGGGAGGCAGGGCGAAACCGAAAAGCACCCGAGGCGGAGCGGCCCGGGCGGTGCGGAGGGAGGGTGGGGCTGGGAGGAGGTCCCTACCAGAAGATGGGGCTCTGGCCTGGCTCGCGGACCACGTAGTAGTCTTTGTCGAGAGGCAGCAGCTTGGCGAGGCCGAAGTCGGCGATCTTGACGTGCGTCTCGCTTTCCACCAGGATGTTCCGGGCCGCCAGGTCGCGGTGCACGCAGCGGCAGGAGCCCAGGTATTCCATGCCCTACGGGCGGGCATGGGGTGCGAACCCCCAGGATGACTGCGTAGGAGCCCCAAGCCTGACCTGGAATCCTACAGCAGCCCCAACCCAGATCCCAAGCCTAACCCTACCCCTGACCCATCTTGCACTCCAGTCCTCACCTTCTTATTGTTTTGGACCTACTATATAAGTGTTAGTCGCTCAGTCGTGTCCGACTCTTTGTGACCCCATGGACTGTAGCCCACCAGGCTCCTCTGTCCATGGGATTCTCCAGGCAAGAATACTGGAGTGGGTGGCCATGCCCTCCTCCAGGAGATCTTCCCGACCCAGGGATGGAACCCAGGCCTCCCGCACTGCAGGCAGATTCTTTACCGTTTGAGCCGCAAGAGAAGTCCCCGACCTTAGCCCTAACTCAACCGCATTTCCAACCTGACCTAGACCCCAAACCTCAACCCTCAGCCTTCCCGGCGAATCCATGCAGACATCGCCCATCGAGCCAGCTCTGTGGACGCGGCAGGTGCACGGTCGCCCCGCCCTCCTCCGCCCCGCACCTTGCAGATCTGGGAGGCGTAGAGGAGCAGGCGGGCAGCGTCAAGGCGGGTGCGGTGCCGCTGCAGGAAGTCGCGCAAGCAGCCGCTGGGCAGATATTCCATGACCAACCGCAGGCTCTGGCGGCCTAGGGGTGGCGGGAGGGGCAGGCAGGAGTCACCACAGAGCCTAACTTCGTCTCCTCCTCCTCCCCATTCTTCTTCCCCGATCAGAGTGGGACCGTGTGTCCCCTCCGGGCCTCAATATTGCTTTCTATAAAATGGGAACGGCAACAGTGACACGTATCGCTAGTCTATTTGAGTACCTTCTATAATATACATTAATTCTTTTTAACCTCATAACGACCCGTTTGTTTCAGGTGGGGAAACTGACGATGCCAAGGTAGTCTTGGGCTTCCCCGGTGGCTCCGCAGTAAAGAATCAGCCTGCAATGCAGGAGACTTGCAGGAGATACCGGTTCGATCCCTGGATGGGGAAGATCCCCTGGAGTAGGAAATGGCAACCCACTCCGGTATTCTTGCCTGGAGAATCCCACGGACAGAGGAGCCTGGGGGGGGGGGGCGGGTACAGTCCAGGACGGGGATCACAAATGAGTCGGACAAGACTGAGCGACTAAACCAACAAGGCAGATCTGGATAAACAAGATCAGTCGGTAGCGCGCCTGCTGGCGTTCTGAGACCACCTGAAGTGGCCGTGCAGGATGAGGGCGTGTGGCTGGAGAGCGGCTCACCTGGGCCATAGCTGACACCCCGGTACCTGACGATGAAGTCGCTGTGGAGGGCTTTGAGGATCTGGATCTCCCGCTGGAAGTCCCTCTGTTGTTCTGGCCCGCTGTGCTGCAGCTGCTTCACGGCCACCAGGGCCCCTGTGTTGTCGCCCAGCGGGTCATAGCGGCACAGCTCCACGCTGCCGAAGTTGCCCTGGGGGACAACGGGGCTGGTGTCCACATGCATGAGTGCTACCCCGCCCACCCCAGCCTAACCCACCTCACCTTGCCCAGCTGTGAGATGTACTTGAGGTGTCTCTCCTCAAAGATGGTAGGGTCCTGGCACGCATAGAGCTGGGTGCCATTCCAGAGCCCATCACGGGGCGCCAGGGTGCCAGGTGTGGGGTCTGAGAGGAGCTCATAATCTGGGGGGCAGAGGCAGTGAGTGAGCAGTGTACTGGGCCTTGGGCCGCCACTCCTAACCTAACTTGCTGCGTGACCTCCATCTGAATGCTCACGCTCTCTGTGCATTATGGCAGAGCCACTGCAAGCCAAGAGGTATTTTGTAGGGCTGGGAAAAGGTGCCTCTTGGCAAAGGCAGCCCTCTTATGCAGTGTACATGCTGCACACAGACAGAAAGGCATTTCCCAGACTTCACTGCCATGGGGTGATAGGGGAGAGGCACGCACTGGAAGCTCCTTTAGGCCTGGCTCATGAAAACCTAGAGTGGGACCTTCTATACTCTCTCTCCTGTTTGCAGAGGATCCAATAGGGGCCTAAGGCCATAGGATGGGTGGAACCACAAAGAGAGAGTTTCTTGCTGACTTGGATACACTCATGGAATGAGAACTACACATCCATCATGTGTGACCTTGACCTGAAGGGCTTGTTTGTTACAACAGCTGTTGAAGCTCATACTGACTGTAGGTCATCGATCAGTCCAACCTTGCCTAGCACGCAGGGCAGGCTCCACATAAAAATCTCACTCTTCTACGGGGTCCAATATGACATCCCAGCCCTGCCCACCCTGCCTGGCCCCAGTGGGCACCTGAAGTGATGAGGCTGTTCAGGTCACGGATGACAGCGCGGAAAGAAGGCCTCTGGCCTGGCTCATAGGCCATGCACTGTTGGATCAGCAGGGCCAGCTCCATCCACTTGGGGGCAGGCAACTGCTGCCGTTCCTGGTAAAACTGGAGCTTCTAAAGGCAGGATGAAGGGTTGGTTACCCCCAGTGAACCCTCAGAGGTGCCCCCGAGACCCGCCCATCCTCCCCAAGCTGGGCTTCATTCTACCCTTCGGTCAAATGAGAGCTCTGGAAGCCGATGGTGGCGCTCTGACCTTGGCGGGTTCCAGGGCACTGATGGGCACGGTGACGCCACTGAAGACCTCCCAGACCGTGGCTCCAAAGCCCCACTTGTCAGCCTCCAAGCCAAGCGTCCGGGCCTCCTGGAGGCATTCAGGAGCCACCCAGGGGATCCTGTCGGTGAGCACTGGTGCAGGAGGCAGGCAGGGGTCAGGGATCCACTTTCTCGCCCCTCTAGGTCCCTCCCTCCTTCACCGCTCAGCACTTACTCTCCAGGCTCAGCACAGTGGGGCTGACACCCGGGTCACTCAGCTTGATGAAAGGCAGGTTCCCATCAGCCCCCTCACGAGCCAAGAGCACCTTCCGGGCTGAGACGTTGCCATGACGGAGACCTTTGTCCTCCTGAGCCGTCCAAGCACAGGGAAGCGCCGGGGGTTGGGGTAGGGGTGAATGAATGTGCTGGCTGGCGAACTCCTACACATCCTTCAAAGCCCACCCGGTAGTGCTCAGACCACACTTCAACACCTTTCCTAGACTACTGGCAACACACCTCCTGTGTCCCTCCTCTTCTTGAACACTGCTCCTTCATCCCATGGCTGCTTACTCCCTTCAGGATAAAGTCAAAGGTCCTCAGACTGGCACTCAAGGCCCTTTGAAATCCAACTCTTGGCCACTCTTCCCATGGGCTTCTCTCTCCCACATCCCCACTCTGGTCTCCTGCCAGGAGAACAGACCTGATACACCCCTGGACAAGCAACACATCTTCTAAGCTGCAGCCTTTGCCCAGGCTTTTCTCTCAGCCGGACATGCTTTCCTTCCTTTTTTTTCTTAATGAACTTCTACTCAATCTCCAAGACCCCAACTTTACTGTTCTTTCTTCTGGGGAAGCCTCCCCCCGGGGCCAGCCTCGTTGCTCACCAGTCCCCTCAACTTCCATGAATGATTGGCTGTCTCCTGCTCTTACACCTCTGAGCCTGTATGTACGCTGTTCCCTCAGTCTCAAATGCCCTCCACTTGCCCTCCACCCTTGCCAAACTCCTATCCATACGACAGAACCCACTCTCAAAGCCCCGTCCACTCTGAATGGGGGATGGAGCAGGCGGAGGAGTACTCACCAGGTAGTTGAGGGCATAGGCCAGCTGTTTGATCACCTGTAGCTTCCAGCTGGCTGGCACTAGGTGGCCACACTTGCGTAGATACGTGTCCAGCGCTCCCAGGCGTACAAATTCCTGAACCATGATACCTGGTGGAAGTAGGAAGGGGCAGGGTTGGGAGGTAGGACTGTATTGTATTCAACAGGCTCTGTCCCCAACCCCAGCTTCAAGGGTCGCTTGAACTCTCAGCTCTGACTTTTCCCTCCCTCATTCCTCCGTCCTTACCCAACTCACCTCTGTGCTTCCCCACTTCCCATCTCAGAACCATTTGCCTCTAATGCCTGGAAGGTGTCGAGCTCTCTCCATGACTCACTCCCAACCCTTTGCAAGGTCTGTGTTTCTGACTGGAACACCCCTCTTCTCTCACTTCCCCAATGTCTATTTATTCTTGCCTTTCCAGCTTAGAATGTATCCTTACCTACTCAGAATCACTGCTTGACCTCCAGAGGTTAGCAGCCTCTGATCACCCACAATGACCTGTGCTGCCCCACCACACACAATCGTTTATCATCCTGCTCAGCCTGTCCTGTTCTATGCTATGCACCAAGCTCCTGGCACATGTTGGGCTCCCAATAAACAGCTGCTGAGCTGAGCTGATGGAGACACGGCTTGGAGAGGCAGCGTGGACCTTGCAAAGCTGCAGAGATGGTACACAATAGATCATAACCCACGTCTGCCTGACTTGAGATAATTCTGGGGGCTTAAGTATTGGTGGGAGCCTGGAGCTGCTTATTCAAAGAGTTATGATGGAGGGACATGAGTACAGGATGATAGACTCTGGTGGAATGGAGCCCCAGCCAGGGCAGGCTCTGAGTGTGTACTGCATTGCTGCTGTAGGTGGGCTCAGGGAGGCAGGGCAGAGATGGGGAGTGTCTCTCACTGTCTCCAGCCATGCACACGCCATGGAGCAATATGAGATGCTGGTATGACACTTGGCTCATCAAGCTTGCTGCTTCCAGGAATGACTGGGGAGGAAAGAATGGAGAGAACATGTATGGGTTTCTTCCACTCATGGGTCAGACCAAAGAACCCCAAACTTGCTGCTCACAAACTTGCCTCAGTAGACCTGGCCACCAGCTTCCTTTGGCCTTGGAGTCCACCATTAATGCACACAGCACTCCGTATCATGATTTTTTTGATGGAGGCAGGAAGTCCCCACTGTAGTCTACCTTGAGTCACTCACCTTCTGGCTCAAACCTTCCTCTGTGTTGTCCAGCTCCTGAAGATGCCTCCACCCACATCATTCCTCTCTTTTCCTTCGCTCATTCCTCTCCGACCCACTGTTCTCCTTGCTATTCCTTAAACATGCCACACTTGGCCCTGCCTCAGTACCTTTGCACTGGCAGTTCCCTCTGTCTGGTATACTCCACCTGTTTGCATCTAAATTCCTCACCCTTCTATATTTCATGGAGATGCTGTGGCTACATTTCTGCTATTTTAAGACCCTGTGTGTGTTCTCTTTGTTTCGGTTTTGGGTTTCTTTTCTGGGTGTGTTTTTTTTTTTTTGACTGCACTGAAGCATGCAGGATCTTCCCCAATCAGAGACTGAACCTGCACCTGCTACTGTGGGAGCATGGAGCCTTAACCACTGGACCACCAGGGAAGTCTGACCCTGTGTGTTTTTAAATTTCTCTGAATCCACAACCCCCTCTTCAGCTAGGCCCTAACCCAGAAGGTCTGGTCCCACCCTGCTCACCTCCATGCAATTCTTGTGCTTGGCATCCATCACTTTGAGCAGCACCTCTGTCTCTCGGGCCTCCCCATCCACAATCTCATGGTGACAGCCCCGATAAATCTTGGTGAAGGACCCGTGACCTAGGTTCTCATGCTGGAGAGTGAGGAGGCAACATGAAAGGCCAGTAACAGGGCTCCCATGGGATCCTGTCCCTTAGCTCTGGCCCAAGCAAGGCATAGGTAAAGGATCAATTTTACAGATGATGAAACAGAGGCACAAAGAGATTATATCACATGACTGAGGCCACACAGCAGAGACGGATGCAGACCTGCTCTCTGGATCCCAACTGAAGTATGTTTCCCCCATTTCCTGGGGCCCCTTACCCACTGCAGGCTGTCAGCAGGGATCTTGTGAAACGTCATCTGACTCAGCTGGCATTGGAATTGGGGCTGAACAGGGGATGATGTGGGTGGGTTGCAGCCTCTCCGGACCACAATCAGATTGGACTTCTCTATGGGGAGTGGAAAGAGGAAGAAAACTAGAGGTCAAAGGTGAAAGGTCCTCAAAGGATTGCTCACTCCCTGTCTCAGTGTGGGGACGCCCTTGGTGGCTCAGATGATAAAGAATCTTCCTGCAATGAGGGAGATCTGGGTTTGATCTCTGGGTCAGGAAGATCCCCTGGAGAAGGGAATGGCAACCCATTCCAGTATTCTTGCCTGGAGAATGGACAGAGAAGCCTGGTAGGCTACAGTCCATGGAGTCACAAAGAGCCGGACACAACTGAGTGACAAATATGAAACTGTCTCAGTGTGGGGTCTTCTGCAGAAGCCAGGTCTAAGATGAGGGTTCCAGGGCACATGGTTTATTTGAAAGGAAACTCCATGAAGTCCCAGTGAGGGGAGGGAGAATGAGAACAAGATGGAAGGAACTCTGCGGTGGTATAAATGAGCAGGTCATGCTGTGGGCAGCCTGGTCTCAAGTCCTACTAGGGATTCTGGGAAAATCTGGAGAACTCACACCTTAAAGCTGTCCCATCCCAGGGGCCTGTCTGAGAGCAAAATTCACCCAGAGCAAGAGGCAAGAGATGAACAGAGGCTAAGTGCTCATGACATCACTCAGATCCAGCTGTGCCTGGATTCAGCCCTCCCTGGGAGCAGTCTCTATCCCACAAGCCCTAGATCACCTTTTTTCCCTCCTAGACTGCTTTGACCAGCAGTCTTTGTCACTTGCCACTCAAGAGCTGGAACAGATCACAGAAAGGCAGGGTTCCAGATTGCCTACTCAGCTCGGGGGGGAAGGCAGGCTCACCTTTAGGTCTGGGGTTGCAACAGAAGGTGAGGTACAGCTCAACCCCATCCACGTGCAACCCACCGTTCCAACAGGCTGCCAGGAGCTCGCGAAGACTGCTGTGGGGACGGCCAAGGCCAGCCAGGGAGAATGTTCCTGTGGGGTCGCACCGGATGAGGCAGCCCTTATAATCCGGGCCCAGGGGGGTCTGCAAAGAGGAGTGAGTGGTCTCTGAGTGGAAGTGAGCGGCACTCTTCCCCTCAAATCTCCAAGTCTTTGCATATTCTGTTCCCTCCACTGGGAATGCCTTTTCCCTCCCCTTCTTCAGGAAGCCACGCTGACTCATATTTCAGTTCTCAGCTCAAATACCATCTCCTCCAGGAAGCCCTCCTTGCCCTCCTGGCCCCTGCAGGTAGACTGACCAGGACACAAACAGTTAGGAGGTAGCTGTCGAAATCCTGGGGACTGCGGCGGAGGACGTAGGAGCCGGGAAGCGAGCCCCCAGTTTTGAGTTTGTTGATGGCAAAATCCAGGCTGTGGGGAAAGGTGGAAGAGAACTGAGAGTCGAAGATGGTGAGAAACAGATGGAGGCAGAGAAACCAAACTAAACCTGAGCTCTAATCTTGGTCTCTCTGAAGCCCTGGGAACCTCACCAGGTAACATTCCCTCACTCCCGCCCATGTGTAAAATTAGCTGAAAGCTGGGCTTCTGCCTAGGGGATTAAAGAGGAAACCGCAGGCGAAGCCCCACACCTGGGCACCTCCAGCATCCCCAGGAAATGGCTCTGGGGCCTCAAGGAGCCAAAGGGAGGGAAGCGGCTGCAGAAATGAGACTGCAGACTCACTGAGCGCCAGCTTTGCGCCTGGTGCTGTTGAAGGGCTCGTGAGAGGCAAGGACACGGAGGCACCGAGAAGGGGAGTGCCAGAGACTTGGTCCCCCAGTGAGTCCTTACGTGATGGGGCCGTGGCACTGCTCAGCCACCTCCTCCAGCAGCCGCGGCGGCGCCACCTCCTTGCAGAAGTAGTGCCGCGAGTCCGTGGTCAGCCGGAAGTAGCCATCCACGAGCGCCACGAAGGACAGCGCTGCGGGAAGCCCCGGGAACTCGGCCTCCTGTGAGGACCGGTGTCAGGGCCCGCCGCGGTCCGAGGGTGACAATCCCGGGGCCCCGCCGTCAGGAACGGAGAAGGTAGGAAGGGAGGGGGTTCCAGCACCCACCAGGATCTGATTGTCTGTCCTGGTGATGGTGACCAGGCGATGCTCCGCAGCCGGGCCAATGCACGGCGCCTGCTTGATGCTGATATCCACGATTTCTGGAAAGTCGCAGAAGGGCTGGAGGACCTGTGAAGAAGCGGGAGGGCTGAAGCTGGGGGTCCCGCCCCCTCCGCGCACCTAGTCCTTTTTGGAAGCCTGGACCCCACCAGTCCATACTCATGAGGCCCGCTCCTCCCAGCCTCACCGAGTCCCATCCCTCTCCAGTCAAGCCCCCACCAAGCCCTTCCTCCTTCTGTCCACACCATCCCTCTCAACTCCCTCCCCTGCTCACCCCAAATATCCGCCCCCTCACCTCTGCCAACCCCCCGAGTTCTTCCCTCGGCCGGTCCCCAACCCGCCCCAGGTCCCGCCCTCACTTAACTCCCCTTTCTCTCCGGGTGTCTCAGTCCAGCCGGGAGCCTCGCCCAGCCCCAGGCCTGCCTCTTCTCTCCACCTGCCGTTAGCCCCATTCCGAGCCCCGCACACCCACTAGCCCCTTCCTCTACGTGCCGCCCTTTTCATTCCCGCTTCCTCGCTCAGCCCCACCCACACCTCACTCCTCCGTCCCGAGACCCCTCACTGTCCCGCCTCTCCCTCGGCCCCGCCCCCAATTCCCGCCCACGACCCTGCCCTCCCCTTGGCCCCCGCTCAGCGCCCCCCCACCCCCCACGCCCCGCACCTCGAGTTCTCCTGGGCTCCAGGCGATGCCAGTGCCGCCAGCCACTCGGAGCAGCCCCGGCGTATCCTGCCCACCGGCAGCGCCGGGGAGACCCACGCGGAAGGTCTCGGCGGCCCTGTCTGGATCCAACCGCTCGAGGTCCATGATGTACTTGACCATGAGCGAGTGCCTGTCAGCCTGGCAGGCCGCCACGCGTCGCAAGGCCCGGCGCACCGTCCTTCGGATGCGCCTCCGAGTCACGAAGCTCAGGCTCTGGATGAGGTCGCGCAGGCCAGGGGGCAGGCAGACCTTGTAGCTGCAAGTGGGCCGAGTGGGGCCCTCAGTGTGGGGCGGGGGTCTCCGCCCGGGAGGACCTAGGCGGCACTTCAACCCAGCCTCTAGGTGCGGGGCTGGAGTGTGGCCTCAGTAGGGCGTCACACAACATACACAGAAACACGCCCAGGGAGAGGCATGGGGGTAGGGAGGGCCTCCATGGGACAGGCAGGGACCCACATAGTCCTTTTAGCTGCCTGAGGTCTGGCTATGGAGTCTCAGGGGGGCTGGGTTCAAGGGGAGGGGGTGGGTCCCATGAACACACGGTAGGCTTGGACGTGGGGAGCCGGACTCGTGATGCCCTGGTGGAGCCGTGTTGGCTCGCTCCCAGGTAGAGGCTGGGCGCCACAGCCCGGAAGCCCTCACCTGACCGTCTTCAGCAACTCCTCGGGCCGCTGAGCCTGCTCGAGGGCCATCCGGGCCAGGTCCAGAACAGCCAAGCTGAGGCACTCACCCTGTTCCTTGAGGCTGAGGCCTACCGAGAGGCGGCCGCTCACCAGGTCATGGCGGTGCTAGGAGCCAGTCACAGCCCGATCATGAGCCCTGATGTGGTCAATAGACCCCCCAACCCTGGGCCGACCTCCACCCTGGGGCTGCCACTCTGAGCCCCGCCCACCCAGCTAGTCCCTCGCTCTTCATGCCGCCCAATTCATTCCCAAATCCTCGCTCAGCCCTATTCACAGGAGAGTCAGCCAAAGCTGCCCAAACATGAGCCCTGACATTGCCCTCTGTACCCCCACCCCTGAGCTGATCCCCACGCAGACACCTACCTGAGCAAAGAGGTGCTCCAGGACTGGCAGATCCAAGATGGCACTGGCCAAGTCCTTTCGTAGCCCATATCGGTGGCACTTCTCTAGTCCAAACCAGTTGGGAAAATAAAAGCTGTGGGGGAGGGGAGAACCCTGGAGTAGGGGATATGATGAGGGGGGGACTGTGCCAAGACCTCACAGAACCCAGGTTATACCCTTGACTTGCTGTGTGATGTTGGACAAGTGAACCACCCTCTCTGACATTAGTCTTCTCATATGTGAAATGAGCAATGCTCATGCCCTCCCTGAGGCACCCACCAGGAGGTGCAGGGAGATGATGATCCAAGGGTTTCCGTGGTTTTAAACTCCCATTTCCCAAGCCCTCAGCAAAAGGCATGCCCTCCCGGTATCATTTAACCCACATTTACGGGGGTGGGGGGGAGACACTTCCTACCGGAGCCTGTAGACAAGGACCTGGGTACCCGTGTCCTCCACGGAGAAGATGTGGCTTGGGGGGAACCAGCAGGACAGGTCTTCCAAAGCCAGAGCAAAGAGGGAGTGGTACACCGGCAGGATGCCTGAGGGGACACTTGAGTCAGTTCCCTCTCAAGTCTCCCCATCTGTCCCCTGCAGGCCTGCCAAGTTATCCTCATGCAGCCCCACCGGCGCTTTCTCACTTTCAGCTCTGACATCATGTCCCACCCCTGCTTGCACCCATTCCAGGGCTCCTCAGTGCCCTGAGGAGAAAAGCTATGGACTCAGCCTGCTTCTCAGGGCTCCCTGCCTCTCTCTCTCCAGGGCATCTCTTTCCACTTAACAGTTTACCTCGAGGGATGACCATCTGTTTCTTCTAATAGACTATCATGCCTCTGAGTCTATGCACATGCCATTCCGTGTGCACCCTCCTCCCTTACCAAACTCCTACTCATCCCTCAAAGCCCCAGATCCAATGCTGACTCTGCTTGACAGCTATTCCAGCTCCCAATCTGTGTTCCACACAACGCTAACCCTCCTTCTGATCAAGCCTTCTTGGGGCACACTTACCACTGGCCTTAGCAGCGCAAATACACAGGTCTTCAGCTGAGTGGTCCCCAAAGGAGAAGGACAGGCACTGTGGGGGTCCAGGGCCCCGAGGGGGCAACAGCACGTGCAGGGCACCAGCCTCTGAAGAGGAGAGGCTGCAGGAGCGCTGAGAAATCAGGGGTGTCTCCTCACTTGGAGGTGCCATGAGTGCAGCCTGCCTGAACACAGAAAAAGGTCGCCCCTCAGTTGCGATCACAGGACAAGGTTGCAGACCTTCTGAGGTAGGAGTGGGGTGGGTGAGAGAAATACAACTGAGTGAGGTAGGGATGAAATCAGAGAAATAAGGAGGAGAGAGGGACAGAAAGAGAAGGACAGACATGGGCAGAGGCAGAGAGAGGGAGCTGAGTGTGCAAGGTGGGTGAGGAGCCATACCACCCCCAGTGAGGGCTGTGCTGGGAAGCTGGAAGACATTCACACAAATTCGTGTGAACTCACCCTTCAGACTCTTGGTGCCCAGGGCAAACATCTCTAGTCAACCTCCAGCCTCCACACATACCCACTCTCCAATCCTTTCTCCAGACAGGCATGATCAATCAATCAATCACAGATACAGGGATTTGCTAACCAGCAAGCAGATAGTTATTGGCCTGGGCAAGTGTGCATGCTCAGTTATGACTGATTCTTTGCGACCCCATGAACTGTAGCCCTCCAGGCTCTTCTGTCCATGGGATTCTTCAGGCAAGAACACTGGAGTGGGTTGCGATTCCCTCCTCCAGGGGATATTCCTGGCATGTGGATTGAACTCAGGACCCCTGCAGTTCCTGCACTGGCCAGTGCCACCTATGAAGCCCATTGGCCTGTGCACATGGGTATTTAAGGAAATAGAAGTGGCCATCCCTCCTTGTGAAGCTGGAGGGTTCTAGCACTTCTGAGGCTGGGGAAAGAAGCTTTTGCAGTTGGAATGGCAACCCACTCCAGTACTCTTGCCTGGAAGATCCCATGGACGGAGAAGCCTGGTCCATGGGGTCACAAAGAGTCAGACACGACTTCACCTCATGCATGCCTTGGGGGCTGATCCAGACATCAGACTCAGTCATCATCAGAGTCAATCAACAGAGATCTCTGCCTCTGTCTCCTCCGATCCCTGCATCTCTGTTCCATTAGCTCCCCAGAGTAGGAAGTTCTCCCCAGGTTAGGTCCAGGAGGAAACCACCCACATGATTTCCAGGAGTTCTACACCAGTCACCTTCCAGATCTCTCTCGCCCTGGGGGACCCAGAGCTCAGGACCCTGGGCTGAGTAGAGGAAGGAATTGGGTTTCACATGCCATGAGGAAAAGGAGGAAGACGAAGAAGATCTACGTAAACTGACCCAAATGAAGAAGATACAAAGAGAATATTGGTAAAAACTATGTTCCAGGGACTTCCCTGGCAGTCCAGTGGTGAAGACTGCACTTCCAATGCAGGGGATGTGTGTTTGATCCCTGGTGGGAGAACTAAGATTCCACATGCCGCTGGATGTGGCCAAAAAGTGTAAAACAAAAAACAAACAACAACAAAAACTATGTTTCACAATAATAGTGGGAGTGGGTGGAGAGTGTTAATGAGATTTTAACACACTCGGAATATAAGCCTGGGGCTGGGGATCGGTGAAAACCTCAGGCTGTGGGTTCAAATCCCAGCCCCACCATATCCTGGCTTTGTGACTCCAGCACGGCTCCCACAGTTGGGACACAGTTTTCTCAGCTATGAAATGTGCTGACTCCCACCTGGTTCAGTGAGGTAGTTTACTGAGTGCAGCCCGACCTGTCAACACGTTTAAAAGTGAAAGTATTGGCCACTCAGTTGTGTCTGACTCTCACGACCCCATGGACTCCACCAGGCTCCTCAGTCCATGGAATTCTCCAGCAAAAATACTGGAATGGGTAGCCATTCCCTTCTCCAGGGGAATCTTCTGAACCCAAGGATTGAACCCAGTTCTCCTGCATTGCAGGCAGATTCTTTACCTTCTGAGCCACCAGGAAAGCCCATTAGGATATTTGCTGCTGCCGCTAAGGCGCTTCAGTTGTGTCTGACTCTGTGCGACCCCATAGACTGCAGCCTACCAGGCTCCGCCATCCATGGGATTTTCCAGGCAAGAGTACTGGAGTGGAGTGCCATTGCCTTCTCCAATCAACACATTTAATCCCCACTAAATGATACAAACCCTTGGTGACATACTCAGCAACCACTTGACAAATGTCAGCCAAACCAGAGGGGAAGGTCCCTTAGGACAGTGGTTTGAGGCTTACCTTCAGGGAGGTAGTAGTAGGGAAGAGGAAACTTTCCCCTAGGGACACTCCAGTGTTACCAGCTCCCAGACCAGGAACTGGAACTTTCCCCACCCCACCCTACTCTGTCACTTCTCACTTCTTATTTCTAACAGTCGCCCTGATCTTTGCACCTTTATGTAAATGGAATCACAAAGCAGTGTCTTTTGTTTAAAATAAATCTTTAAAAACATGATTTTTTAAATATCGAAAGTAAAAATAGGAAGTCTATTTGGCGCCCAGAGAAACGTCCCTGTTTGAACATCAAAAGTCCCACATGCCCAGAAGGGAAGGTTTGTTGGTCACCCAGTGCTCGGGCCTGGGAACCTGGAACATAGGAGTCGCGAAGTGTGTCCCCAGAGATTGCAGCCCTGGGCGCATGCGCAAGGACTCCTTCGGGTCCGGGAAGCTGGGACTTCGAGGCCTCCTGCTCCGGACGAAGTTGAAGCCCAGAGGGGAAGCCCTTTGCCGGAGGCCGCACCGCCAGCTGTCCCAGGTTACGCCAGAAGGCTTTTCTCTGAGACCTAGAAGGCACACCTGCCTTTGTCCCCAGCGGCGGCCGTCCACAGAGCCTCCCCCGACCCCCACCTCCGACCCGAGCGCAGCGGCTCCAGCAGCTCCTACCTGGAGGTGACGGCCCCGGGCCAGCGACGGGAGGGCAGAGCCGGGCTGCAGCCGGAGGAAAGTCCCACTCGCTCCTTCCTGTGTGGGCCCCTCGGCTTCCTGAGCGGCTGTCACTTACCGAAAGTCATGGCCCTGTGAGGGCCGGGGCCGGGGAGGGGCAGAACGTCCCGGAAGCCTCCGCAGCAGCCGTGCTCCTCTGGCTGCTTGAAGACCCTGGGCCTCAGGGAAGCAGTGACAGCGGAGGGAAGGGCCCAGGTCACCCCGAGGGGTCTCAGCAGGCTCCGGGACTCAGACTCTGTGCGGCTTCCTCCGGCCTCAGTTTACCCATTTGTGGCGTGGGGGGGGGGGGCACCCACCCAGAGGAACTGATTTCACACCTAAGGAAGGGAACTGGGCTGGATCTGCCCAGGAAGGAGGCAGGGAAGTTGCCCCAAACAAAAGTAAAGTTCTCCTTTACAGTATTTTTTCAATGAGACCCTGGAAGGTATGGCGGTCCCCTTTTGTGCTCCATGCCCCAAGCCCAGCCCTAGAATCTGTGAAAACCAGACAGACTGGGTCACCTCACTGTCTGGTCTGGCAGGGAGGCAATTAATCATTGTGGATAACCAAGAAAACCAAGATGATGGGACAGGCTCAGGCTGAGGCTGAAGGGCGGGGATGAAGGGCGGGGAGCTTGGGGGACAGGCAGGGGCGCGTTCTGTGTAAAGGACCTGATGGATCAAGCAGGACGTGAAGCAAGACAAAGACACTCCTGGTGAACACCACAGGGGCAGAGACCCAGAGGTGAGAGTGAGTAGAGCTATTTAAGGCTCAGAGGGCTTGACTGGATACAGTGGGGAGGGAGGGGGATGGTTTGGCAGCCAGCAAGAGTCAGCTCACAGAGCCAGGTCTGATTGGGGTTTTTTTTAACACACCTGAGGCTGTCATGTGGAGGAGGCAGGAGGCCAGGGCAGTGCTCTTAGTAGGATACAAACCCCAGAAAGTAGAGCTTTGGGATACATTTTACTTTTTTTTAATTAATTTATTTTTTATTGAAGGATATGGGGTAAATTCTAGAGCACCTTTTCATCTCTGTGCTCCCCTGGTGGCTCAGATGGTAAAGAATCTCCCTGCAATACAGGAGACCAGGGTTTGATCCCTGGATCTGGAAGGTCTGGAGAACCACTCCAGTATTCTTGCCTGGAGAAGTCCACGGGAAGAGGAGCCTGGTGGGCTACTGTCCCAAAGAGTCAGACACGACTGAGTAACCAGCACTTCACCTTCATCTCTGTAATCCCATCTCGAGCTGTGGCACAAAGTGGTTTTGGTATATATTTTGTTGACTTCAACTGAGTCACCCACAGACACTTACTGGGCACATCCGGTGTACAGAGCACTGGGGACACACAGCAGGGTACAGCGCAGATCCAGTCCCTGCCTGGTGGAGTCAAGACAGAAGATGAAAATAAATGAGTATCCAGTCAGGGTTTCAGTGGCCCTCGGTGCCAGGCTTCTAGAAGACGCTAAGTCTGGGAGGGTTTCCTGGAGGAAGTGACTCTGATATACTGAAACCCGAGGACAGGTAGGATTAACCAGTGGTCCGGAGGCGTGAAGAGTCCTGGCAGAAGAACGGCCAAAGACTGAGAAGCTGGGTAAGGTCACAGTGCTCCTGAGGACAGGGTGGCAGGGGAAATTGTACTGAGACTTATTTGGAGGCATCAGTGGGGCCTTTGTGGGCTTTGTGGGTGGAGAGGGAAGAGATGTGAGTTGTGTCCTCACTGCAGCAGGAGCCAGAGCAGGCTTGTGGCAGGAAGTGCTGCATGGGGCTTAGCCAGAGTATTTTTCTTTCACTTCCGGGCTGGCTTCAGCAGAGAAGAATGCAAAGAGTGAGTTTCGAGGCCACTGACAACTCTCACAGTGTGGGGGTCACTGTGGTATACTGAGAATGAGCAGAAGGGGGACAGAGTGAGGACAGAGGCACCGTCAGTCCCAGAGAGGGCCATGTGAAGTCTCCATGAGGTGATCCCAAGGGGCACAGCCCAGCATTTGCCCGTAAATTGGAAATTTTGTTGATGTAAACATCCTAAGTTTTCTCCTGGCCTAAAACCCACAAATACAAAGAATAAACAAATGGAACTGGAGACAAAGGTAAACTCATGTCATGGATAAAATATCTTCATAGTATGAACAATGCCTGCATGCATGTGTGCTAAGTCGCATTAGGCATGACCAATTCTTTGCAACCTTGTAACCTGCCAGGCTCATTGGTCCATGGGATTCTCCAGGCAAGAATAT